GGGAGAAGAGTAGCATGAAATAGAAAATCCCAGCAACGCGTCCTAAACTTAAATTGGGTTTGTGTGGCCTGACGTCTTTGACAGGATTATCTGGCGATTCACTCGGGGCGTTTTTCTAGGGAACGGGTGGTGATAGGAATCACGAGTGTATTTTAGTAATAGGTTGTGTGAGTTCTCACCCGTGTCTGTGTAAACCCATAAGATATCCCACACAAGAAACTTTGTTGGGGGGAAAAAAAAAAAGAAAGCATAAATAGGTGAAATGGATATGCTGTGAGCAAAGTAATGAGTAGGACAGAGCTCTGCGTGAAGACGGAGAGAATTCCTGCACAAAATTGTGTCGTCCCGTGGCAGGCACTCGTATCGCGTGTAAACTTCTGCACACGTCGAATTGGTCAGGTCTCTGATTAAATTGGAATCCTTGAAATGCTTCAGAGTGTAGTGACAGCACTTGACGCGCGGGTGAGGAAATCGCTTGCCAATTGCAGTTTAGACGGTCTTCTCAGAAACGCGGGCAGTTCAGAAGAGCACGGTGCTACGTGAAAACATCTTAATACTTTGGCATTTACGGCAGTGCTTGTTGCAAAACAATTCTCCGCTTTATAAGAGAGAAAAAGTTTTAATATAATAGTTATTTTAGAAAGTGGGCTTCCCAAACGTTATTTGAAAACACCTTGTGAGAAGCAGAAGTTAGGTACTGTGTTACAATACTCTCTGCTTATGGATCTTTTGTACATTAATGCTTGAGAGCTTTTTCCCTGTGAGGAATGTAGTAATTTGTCCCAAGTGGCAATTTTCTAAGCCAGCGTCCTCTGGAAATACTAGTCAGGTAGAGAATTCTGGCACTGTCCCTCACGACCTAAACCTGAAACACAGGCAGTGTCTTTGGTCGACACAACGCAGAGGATTTTGGTGGGGCTAGCAGTCCGTGTTTACCTCCCAGTTTTCACATTCATTTTCAAGAACAAGCACTATTTCACTGTGAAAAAAGTATTTTGTGGCTTATTATAGTAGTGAAACAGAGAAAGTCAGGCCTGTTTTTCTAGCAGTGTGTATGGAGCACTGTAGTAAACAAAGTCATTTTCCAGTTTGAAAATTTCTAATTTTTGTGCAGAACAGCAATTCTAACATTATAAAGGTATTGGATGCCATGGTATCGATGTGCTTTGTTTCCTGGGTGAGAACAGAACGTATTGCAGTTTAAAACTATTCCACTACTCTGTAAAGGTGCAGGTGATTTGACTGGTGAATTACCAGTTCAAAGCTTTGTGATGCTACGGAAAAGAAATAACTTGTATTTTTGGTTAGGCTTCACCAGGAACCGGGTTTTTCTGAGCGCAGGGTGTTGAACTTGAAATTCAAAAGACCTGGATTATTCTTCGTTCCAGTTCTGCAGCATACTTCCTATGTGACACTGGCCTGGTTGCTTTCCTTGCTGGGCTTTACCTCTTAAAAGGAAATGGTCGTGTTTAGTCGAGAGTCCTATTCAAAGTAAATGCTAGTGAGTTTAACCCCTGTGTTTCCTCAGGGAGTAAGGATTACTTAGAGCAATGTATGTCATGCAAACTTCATGTTAAGTACAGCTTGTAAGGTAAGGAAGACATTGTTCATTTGGGTGTGTTGGCTTGGATATCATTACAACTGTAACTTCTTTAGCCCCACCCAAATATGACATTGCTTGTTAGGCAGGAACTTGGTTCTTTAAAAAAATTAATTAAAAATTGGCAGCTTTTAATTTAAAAGATAGTTCACAATTCTTAAGCCAGCCTTGGGTGGTTTGCTCAGTGTTTTTCCCCTGAACATTTTGGCAAGAAGATAGCATAACAAAGGAGTAATGTGCTTGTCCAGATCTTTCTAAAGAAGAGTAAACAGGCTTTCCCGATGAGTGGAAAAGAAAACTGTATTTAAGATCTTTCAGATGTCTTAGCGAGGAAGATGATGCTCATGGGGAGCTACCATTTAAAAAAAAACTTAGCAAAGGCCTAGAGAGGGCAGGAAGAAGGTTAGCCAGTTGGGTGGCACGGTGTATTCTTAAGCTATTTTAAGTGCCCAACGAGGTGAGTCTTTGTCAGGGAGCGTCTATGGGACTGCAAGGATTGGTATGGGTGAACGCATCGTTTTGCCACTGGGCTGCCAGTGAGACCTCTGTGGGTAAGGGTGGCCCTAGGAGAGCAGACCCTGCCCTGGGGAGTGCTGCTCGCCAAAGAAGTTTCCAAGAAGAGCACAGTGGGATGAAGCAGGGTGGCTGTCATAGGGACTTGGGTCCAGTGTGGTGGTGCTGACTTCGTTTTGGTACACATGAAAATAAAAACCACTTGTTTTGCCTGAACAGCACCTTTCAGAGGAAAAAAAAAATATAAAAAAATCTTGCTTCTCTTGATCCTTCTTTGAAAGTTGACCCTATCATTTTAAAATGGATTACTGATATATTGTATGCTCTGACAGGTTTTGTTTTCTACAGTATTGTAAGAGTACGCTTGTACAAAATACAATTTGATTGAAATGCTGCGTAAAAATGTAAATAAGAAGAATCAAATGATCTACAGTGACCTTTTTATAAAGGTATAGTTTCTCAGATTGTCCAGTTGCAAGGCTAGAAGAAAAACTTCAATTCCAGCTTACCTTCAGTATTGTTTTATGGTGTTAGAGTCAGTATCTCTCCCGGAGCAGCTCCACATTCCGTTGATGTGTTTTGCCTAATCTTTCAGGGATAAGACGTATTGGCAGGAGGCCTGATCAGCAGCAGCAGCAGCAACAGCAGGGTGAAGGCAAGCCCATCGACAGGAGACCGGAGAGACGACCTCCTCGTGAGCGCCGCTTCGATAAACCTGCTGATGAGAAAGGCGAAGGAGGAGAGTTTTCCGTTGATAAGTAAGAATTTTGTCTTCCCTGACAGCTTTCCTAGCTTTGCTAAGAAGGGGCTGTCCTGCCTTCTGCTACTAAGTTTAAAAAAAAAAAACAAAACAAAAAACAAACAACAAAACTTATTTCATTCAATCAGTTTAATTTTGATTCAATTTTTGTCAGTCGCAAGAAGAGCATATGTCATGCAGGCTATAACACTTTCCTTTTCTGTGATTTTGTTTACAAATTCGACTCACATTTTAGACTGAGTGTGATCTAACATTAACAGTTCCATTGGTTTAACTGAAAATACGGTTTGAATCATTAAAGTATCCACTATCTCTCTCTAAATCTATGGCAGGTGGGTCAGGAATGGAACTCAAGTATAGCTGTTGCCTGCAGGATGAGATTTATCTGCTGTTACAGCTGTTGCTTAAATCCATACAGCTGACTTCAAGCCAATAAAAGTTTGTCCATGTAGGTGTTTACACCTTGGCTGCACTGACTTCAGATGCTGAAGCCATCTTACGTCTAGGCAAGTTTTAAAGTGTCTCAAGTGTCATGTGGGATCCAGAATTCAAGTATGTTAAAATTTTAGTAGTCAAAGTTAAAATCCTTTTTAAAAGTTGGTTGGATGAGTGTGAGTTTTAAATTGAAATTGTAGTATCAACTAGTGACGTAACACAATACAAACACTAAATTTTGGAATTTAATGCCAGAAGATGCAAACAAACGATAATGCTTCTGAGCATTTTATTTTCAGATTCTAAAATGCAGGCGTTGTATATTGGGAGTTTTTTCAGTATAATAATTTGGCATTGAAATTAGAGCCTCCACACAGTTACAAACAGTAATTATCAAAGGAAAAGTAAGTAAATAAAATTCTCAGAAGAGAAGAAGCAAACCTTAAAAACCATGCTGTAAATTTTTGGAGGTGAAATATTCAATTTGACTGTTTCGTGCTAGGCCCATTCTTGACCGACCTATGCGTGGACGTGGTGGACTTGGAAGAGGACGTGGTCGCGGCCGTGGAATGGGTAGAGGAGATGGGTTTGACTCTCGTGGCAAACGCGAATTTGACAGACATAGTGGCAGCGATAGATCGTAAGTCTTTAACTTTTTCTGTTGGTTTTTTTTTTGCTATTCTTTACAATTAGTAAATGTTTTTAAATTTGCCTTTGAATTTCTGTATCTGGACACTATAATGTTAACTCAGTTTTGTTAGTTCTGTTTCACATTCACATTTCAGCGGCCTAAAGCATGAGGACAAGCGTGGTGGCAGTGGATCACACAACTGGGGAACCGTCAAAGACGAGCTAACGTTAGTAATCTGTAATTGCTCAGAAAACTGATAGCAGAATGTTAATAAATCCTAATTCTTACGCCTTGCAAAGTACAAAGATTTAGCTACCTTTTTTGCCTTTGCTTTTTGATAATTTTTGCTATGCTATTAAAGCAGCCTTTGCAGAATTTAGAAAACTGGCAATTTCTTGTAGCATGAGAGATGGCTTCAAAGTTAAAACCAGAATTTTGGGGAAGTTTGGATTGGGGGGTGGGAGGTGTCATACTGGTTTTTGAACAACTCTTTTATACTAAAAATAGAACAATTTAATTTTATCAATTTGGATCAGGTTAAGCATGCTTTTTTTACAAGCATTACATTGAAAACAGTATTTTGAATACCTGTTTTGTGTCAAGGTACAGTGGGAGGCTTTCAGATCAAGCACTAGCAAGTGTTGGAGAAAACCATTAGTAAGGTGGAAAGCATAGAATTCAAGAAGACACAGAGCACCAATTCTTAATAAAATAGCTCTTTTTATAAAGAGTGGGTTGTGTAAATCCCCTGTAGAACTTAGTCTTTAATCTTTGGTAGCTTCACATAGGGATGAACTTTTAAAAAGCAAAACTCCAAACGTTATGTAATTGCAGTGAATTGGATCAGTCAGCTGTAACTGAGGAAACGCCAGAGGGAGAGGAACATCCGCCTGCTGATTCTGAAAATAAGTGAGTACCACCCCTCTTAATGTTCTTTGATCACTTCAAAGGTAGTATTTTGCCTTTAACCTCTGATATTTATTCCTACTTCTGTTTTGCCAAACTTGGATTATGTTTTCTTCAGTAGATATGAAATGATCCGCAATGCTGCTGAAAGACTACCTCTTTAAAAACTGCATGTCTAAAGATTGGTATCTTGAAACTGTTCATTGGTATCATGCAAGCTCTTAGGTCACTTTCAGATTTAGTTACTAATAATCAGTTATAATAGGCTGAGGGTCTCGGGATTGCAGCTCCAAAGTACCAAATCCAAAAGCATCTGTGCTCGTAACTAGGCAGACCAACCAAGCCAAAGGGACAAGATGTTCTTCTGCCAGTGGAAGGCAACTTTTTTTAAGCTTAGTTTTTCAAAACAACTGTTGAGACTGTGTGACTAGCCTATGGAAAGGTTGTATCTCTCATTCTCCAGCTTCTGTGTACTCAGGCAATTTTCACAGTTAAGTGGTTGCTTCTCATTCCTCTTGGACACTGTTTCAGAAGGAACCAGTGACTGGATGAATGAAATGGGGTAACTAGAGAAGCAGAAGGAGCAGTAGTGATGCTTACAGTTGATGTAAAAACATGATACAAGTTTTTATGGTAGCGTCGTACAGTAAAATGTTGTATTTTAATGAGGAATGTGCTTTATGGAGGGTCCAAAAGAAAATGGCAAACAGGAAAGATAGAATTTTGAAATACTTGCTTGCACGACCGGAGTCTGCTGTAGCTTGATTTCCTCATTAATAAATTTGGTGAGTGGTAAAGAGGGTACAGCTACTGCGCAGAGAGCAAGAAATTGATTTACTTTAACTAAAAATAAAAAAGACTAAATGCTACTGCTTCTCCAAGGTTGTGGTGGTCCAAGGTTAAGGTCGTCTTGTATACAGAAGTAGTATGAGGATTTTAAAGGCACTACAGCTTGAGCATTGGTCAGAAAATGCAAGCTACCTAGTCTTTTAAAAAAAAAAAAAGTATTGGATATCTGGATATGTTAAATTCATGTCCTTCCTTAAATCTGCGGAAAATGTGTACTCTTCTCAGTTTCAAGCATAACACATCTGTTGTAATCCATCAGTTATCTTTATAGAAAAGCACCTTTATGTGGGTTAGTTTCAGAGTTGGCTAGTTTGGTGTGGATCTCTAACCTAAACGTTTCAGCAGAACTGTAGGGTATTTTACTGCAGTAAAATGTGCAGAATGCCAAAAGATAATATCTTTACCTTGAACAAAAAAAAAAAAAAGCTTCTGAATATACCATGTCAAAAATCATTGTGTCTTACAGAACGAGAAAAAATTGAAATACAGTAATTTTGACATAAAACCTCTGCATTATTAGATCAAAATTAATGGCTACAAGATGAAGACCTCTTAAGTTGAGGCTTTCATGATCTTTTTGGTGCACATACATGCTACTAGTTTTCTATAAATCAGAAATTTAGTTGCATAAATACACTGAGGAATGACAAGACAAGAGGAATGACTGCTTATGTAGTTGGAACATGATCTGTTATTGAGCACAGCGGTTGTGTGTTTTACTTAAAAATAGCTCTTTGGCAGAAGGTAGAGGCACCAGAGATTTACAATGAGGTGATACATCACACAACTAAGTTATACGCTGTTGCTATTTCAAATTAGCTGAAAGTAAAAATTGTTTCCGTTAGCTGGGAAGTTAATAATTACCTTTGGTTCAATAAAGGAAGCAGACTATCCAAAGTTGATTAAATTGTTTGGGGTTTTTTTTTGTTTTTTAAATTAACAAGCTTGAAAATTGTGGTAAGAACAAGCTCTCTCTCACTGCCTTAACTTGAACTTTTGGGAGAGAGGTATCTCAAAAGGGGGAGGGGGGGAAGCTCCAAACAAGTCCATTGCAGAAGTTAGGCTTTAATATTTGTAAAGAAAATTGTTGTTAATGTGGAGAATAGATGACATGGGTCAGTATTAATGTTAATGTTTTGCTGTGCTCCCCATTCAGTTGCTTAAAGGTGTCTTGCCGTGGGTTTGTTGTTTTGGGCTTTTTTGGCACTCTGGCTAAGGGAAATGAGTTTTCTTTTGTGCTTTCTGAGTGGTGGAACTGAGGGGGTTTTGTATACACCTAAATATATACTGCTAAATACTTGTGAAATATTTTTATGATCTGGTGTTGGTAAACAACTGATTTTGAATTTGTTATATCTAGAATGTGAATCATGATCATAATATCCATGCATTTACTACAGAGAGAATGAGGTTGAAGAAGTTAAGGAAGAAGGTCCTAAGGAAATGACCCTGGACGAGTGGAAAGCTATTCAAAGTAAGGATCGTGCAAAAGTTGAGTTCAACATCCGTAAACCAAATGAGGGTGCTGATGGGCAATGGAAAAAAGGATTTGTTCTTCACAAGTCAAAGAGCGAGGAGGTAAAGTGATTTTTGATATTTGTTAGCATCCCAGATTGTGTAGGTTTTTCTGTTGATACATGCTTCTTGGAGTAGAAGCTCCATTCTTTGAGACACTGACCTGTAGCTAAAAGTTTATAAAGTGGGAACAACATTTCTCTTAATAAAACTGAAGTTATGCAGTAGCATAAGTAGCCATTCTTACTGTGGTTAGTTTTAGCAGTGGATCTGAACCCTTGGGTTGGTGTATACTGTGATATAATCTAGAGATAAGGCTGGAGTACTGCTGCATCTGGGCAGGTAACTTTGCAAGTAAGGACTGTCACTTGGTGAGCATTTTAGAAAAAGTTTGTCAGTATCAAATTTATTTGCTTTTTTTAAAGGAAGCTGATGTTATTTACCATCTGTTAGTCTTACAGATTTATGGTGCTTGCTAAGCACAGTGTAAGATTGGAGAAATACTGGTTGTGCCTCACTGTAATATACCTAAACTGTGTATCTTAAGTTTGTAATGTAGGTATCTTGTAATATTATGTAGGCAAGTGTCCTTGAAGCTCTTGAGAAACCAGGTGAAATATATTTGTAGGCTTCAGTGATACTCAACATAGTTGCTGTAGAATTATTTTAAAATTGTAGTTTCTCAAGCGTGCTCATTTTGGTCATTGCAAAATTTTAATTATTCCGTTTGAAGATAGCAAGAGTGGCAAGGAGACACATAATGTTTTACTTCTGAAGGGGAGGGAGGTGCCAAGAGCTCTGTTTTCTAGTGCAGGGCTGCATTAATCTTTGTTATTAGTGTTTGTTTTTAACACTCTGCAATACCTTAAGTGGCCCAGTCTTAATCCGTGGCCTGCAACTTTGTATACCAGATGGTTCTGGCTCCCTTTGAAGTAACTAAATAGCATGTAATACGCTGTTTGGTCTTCTAATGTGTATTTCTGCTTTTTCACACCATGTCAGTTTTTTCTTGTACACTGGGGAGACAGATGGGGAGGTACTATTCAGTACTTTCCAATGAAAACTCCATTTCTGATCTCCCTGAACTCAGAATGAGTTTGACTTTGCCACAATCATGCTATTTTCTTGCCATGTAAGACAGTTCACTTCTTTAAATGATTGCATATCTGTTTACCTTAAGCTATTCAGTGTTTGAAGTATTCATGAAATACCGCTTTCTCTGGCTTGTGTAGAAAAGGGAAATTGTGTTAAACTTAATGTTGCTGTATATTAACAGAGTATATTTAAACAGAAGTATTTATGTACTTTACCAGGATTTACTAGACCTGTAGTCCTGCCAGTGTGTCAAGAAATACCCCCTAGCCCCAGTCTCTCTAAAGCAGATTTATTTGATATTTAGTCAGCTGAAGACAGTGTTTTTTAACATATCTGCATGCATGATAGCATAATACGATGATGGTACTCTTGAGTAATTTAGAAGCTAGGAAGATCCATACTGTACTTTCCATTTGAAAAATGAATCAGTAGTTAACTCAGAAAAACCCAAATAAGAACAATAATCAAAATACTTTCGTGGAGGAACTGACATAATTAGTAGATTCTTCTGTTTGAGAGGTGTATTTGGTTAATGTCTCGTCAAAGAAGTGAGTTAGATATTTTTAACGCTATCACATAAGAAGTTAACAGCTCCTTGCTGTATAGGCACAGAAGTGAGATATTAACAAAACTGCCTTTAAACGTAGATGCTTTTAGCCTGCTTTTATTGTATGTCCAGTAGACATCTCTCCTCATTTCAGTTTTCATTGTTCACTGATCCTGTGGGAAGTGGCATGGGGTTGTTTTTTTTTTTTACAAAGCATTATAGCAGAAGAGCTCTATAATACAGGTGTAAGGAAAGCTTTCACTGTGGCACTCTGTGAGCAGGGTTAGAAGGTGGAATATGTAGAAGCAATGAACAAAACCTACTGATCACCTGCTGTTCTTTTTCTCTTTGTCCTCCTGGATGTACTTATGAGTCATGAAATTAAGGTTGCTGTAAGGTTTCTGTGATTCTTACTGATAACAAGGGGTTTTGATGTGTGGAAGTGACTTGGTTTGTAGGTAAATTCTGGGTTTCAGCCCCAGATCTTCTGTGCTCTTATGGCTGAAAAATCACAACCTGCACCAGTAGGTTTTCTCAGAAATTTGGATTGAAGCATTGTGATGACCACCCTCATTCCTGTAGCTTGAGAACTACTGGGAGAGTGAAAGCCCAGGAGTCTGTGAGAAAAGGGAGTATGAGGCTGTAGTGCTGTTCATCTGCCTTAGTCTTGTGGAAGAGCTGTCCTCCTCCTCCTCGCTCTATTCACTGAGGGGTGAGGCACTTGGCCCCATCGAAGGTCTTTCTTCTTTTTCGCATTTGCCATGCAGTTACTGGAGTGTGATACTTTGTATAACATGAACTCTTAATACCCTCTCAGATTCTTGCTGGTTTAATATGAAATCCATGTGTATTGGCAGCCCTAGTCTAATGTTAGAGACTCTTTCCAGGAGATTGGGTCATGCCATAAAATGGAGATCCTCTTTTTTCCTTCTTTGCAGGCTGGTTTAGTGGCCTGACTCTCTTTAAGTTCTGCTGGTGCAGCTGAACAAAAAATGGGAGGGAGTTACATTGTGGAGAGATCTTAAAATTTATTCAGAAAGTTAGATGCAAGTCTCCTGGAAAGATTAAACACTAGTAGAATAGTTCTTACTCTGTGTATCTGCTGTGCCATGCCTCTTTCCTGTGCCTTCAAGCTTTCTTGCTAATCTAATCGCTTCCTTAGAGGAGGTTGCAGTGGGAGACTGAGAAATATGTTTTGGAAATAATACTTCATCTTCTCAAAATTTGGAGGAATGACTCTTGAATTGAGGCTGCGCAGAAACCTTTTCTCATTAAAGTAACTTGAAACATCCCACCTTCTTACCTGTCTAGTTCTGTACGCGGTGTGCCTGGTGTATTGAGGTCCTAGAGATCAGGCTGCTGCGTGTGTGGTCTCTATTAGAGTTTCCAGCAGCTTATGTTAAACTTTTTTGGTATCGATCTGAGATTTCTCTTGTCTCCACGCCTGTGGTACAGTCCATCCCTCTAGTCTTTCTGGATGCTTGCACAGCTGTTGATCTCATCCTTTTGCTGCTTCATGTGCTCAGTGACATCTGTATCCGGCAAGTTCATGTGACCTTATTACCTGTTGTTTCTGTATGTAGTTGAGTCTCATTTCTTCCTTTTGTTTTCTCCCTTTGTTCCTTTTGTCACTTTGGCGTGGACACGCAACTTTCATCAGACAAAGGCGATGACAGAAATGCAGGGGAGTCTGCTGGAGTCAAATGAGGTACTGATCCTTTATATCTAACTGGTAATACCTGTGTTTTGATATGAGCCCCTTCTGAAATGAAGGTCTGGATATTAAGAAATCACAAAAAATAGAGAATACAAGTAGATACAATATGGAGCTCTTCTGTCCATGCCTGTTGTCTACCTGCGCACCATGAAAGACCCTTCATAATTAGTACCCTTGCTCCTGATTGAGCTGAATTCAAACCCCATCATAAATGCTTCTATCATGAGTCTTTTTATTTTTTGCTGTTGTTTTTCCATATCTCACTGTCTGCTTTGGCCTGCTTTCTGTTAGTAGCTTGTTCTTAATTTTTGACAGCCTTCCCCAAGACCCTTAAGCACAGCAATGCCGTCAGGAAGCATCGGTTATTAGATCAGGGCACTATCAAGAGTTGCCAATACATATGAGTTAAATTCTTCCAAAGATTATTCAGAATAAGCAATTTGTATGATATGTCTATGACTGTCTTTTGTCACCTAAGTGATAGAAAAGGATGAGGAGAATATGCCAAGTCTTCTGTTGGTGTTTTAAGTTAGCTCTAGTTATTTTGGATAAAGAAATCATCAGATTACACGTGGAATTTGCTATTTGTTGGGTTTAGTGGTTAAAGCAAAGTTAATTGGGAAGATACAACGTTTTAGTTGACTGTAGTGTTTCTTTTTTAAGCAATAACAGTGTAAGGAAGGAATTGCACAGAATTATTGTAGAAAGCCAGTGGTACTACCTGTCACAAAAGAGAATGTCATACAACTACCAATAAGTTGAAAATACCATCTCAGTACCCTGTAGTGATCAAAACTGTAGGTAAAATATTAAGTGGTAAGAAAGGAATCCAAACCGTAACAAAAAGTATTGGGTACTGTTTTACAAATTGTTGGTGTACATTTGAGTACTGCTATGTCAGGCTGAGATCTGGAACGACTTTTCTCTGAAAAATAACTACTTAGACCAACTTGCTAAGTTTGGAAAAGAGATCTCTGAGGGAAGGGTGTTGTACAGTTCAAATCTATAAAATCAGGAGTGGGACGAGGACCGGTTGTTACATGGAATAGATCCCAGCGAAATATGTTTGAGGTAAAGCAGCACGGAGGGGTATTTCTCCTTGTGCCTAATTAAGTTGCAGTGCCCTCCACTGTGAGACGTTGTGGAGGCAAAACGTACAGCTGAGCACGGAAAGATGTAATTAATTGTCGAGGGAGAAGGCTCTTTATGGCTCTGGACATTATGGGGCTTGTGACTGACTCAAGGAACCCCTGAAAGCAACTTTCAGCCTTTTGACTGCAGACCTCTGTGTATCCGTTGACTGCCTTGTGAAGGATCCATAAATGGTAATTAAAGGGTATAGGGCTTAATTGCACAATATGTTTGCCTTTGAAAGTCAGCGTATTGTGTAAGTACACCACAAGAAAAGTAAGTTAGAGTCAAGAAGCTCAAGCTTGCACATGGCACTTCTGTAGGAAAAAAGCAAACTGGCGCAGCAATTATCAAGTTAGGGGCTTATGGGAAAAGCAAGCATTGTATGTTGTCGTGTTTCCAGAACATGATGATTGAGCCATGTAATAGGCAGAGTGCTGGACTAGATGAACCCTTGGTCTGATCCAGTGTGGTCAGTTTTACATGTTGTGTGTCGTCATGTGTGCCAAAACCTGATTTACCACATGGAAAAATGACTTGTACAAAATAGGAAAAATAATTACCTGAAAACACTTGGTGTTTCTGTGTTCAGTGTGTAATAATTTCAAATAGTCAAATGTGCTGAATAGTAGCATTTATGGTGTTAGACATAAGTCTTTGGTGTATAGCTCGCTCCTTGAGGCTCAGGTTTCTCACTGAATGCGCTGGGAACCCACCAGCTGTAAGATGATGTAGCATGGCAGAGGTGGTGAGAGTCACGGTTTTCAGTGTAACTGGTGAGACTGGTTCTCTGTTTCAGCATTAATGTTTTAGCGACTTCACTTACCTTGTGTTTGAACTGTTTATGCCTCATTTGCTGTTTATTATGGCAAATACAAACCAGTTAAGGGATTCTTACCATCTCCCTTGTTTTAAATATTTATACAGGGCTAAGCAAATGAGAAAATGTAAAGTACTCATTGAGCAAAATAAAGATGGGTTACCAAGTAAGTATTTAAAAAGAATGAAATTAATTGATAGAACCTGAAGATTTCTCAGGATACGGAGTGAGAAGAAAAGTGCTGGAATGGTTTGGTGATAGTTTGGTCTCAGATAAGCCTAAACGTGTTCCTCTGAAGGAACTCCAGAGCTTCCCTGAATTATCCTGGAAATGCAAAATACCTTTGTTTGCTCAAGCGATTATTTGATTACCTATATTTGGGTTTGTCATCTGCACAAGCGGTATAACTTGATTCCTAACAATTCCTGCACTATCTTTTAACCTGGATCAATCAAGGTAATCAATCACCAATTTGGGAGTGCATTTGGAGGTGAACACGCATGCTGTGGTGTGGTAAGAGTGCAATTACGGCTGAAAAGGTTTCTTTGGTGATTTTTCTTACTTACGGAGAAATGCTCATTTCAGGCTCATGCTGAGGACTCTGTAATGGATCATCACTTCCGCAAGCCAGCAAATGATATTACATCCCAGCTGGAGATCAACTTTGGAGACCTCGGCCGCCCCGGACGTGGTGGCAGAGGGGGACGGGGTGGCCGAGGGCGTGGTGGCAGGGCCAGCCGTGGAGGCAGAACTGACAAGGTAAGTAGCTACAGCTTTCACCTGCGAAGGAGTTTAGTTTCAGTTGTTACTACGGTTTGCATACAGATAGTTCTAGGTGCCTGCCTTATTTCTGAGGAATTTGCTCTGACATCAAACACCACATTTTAAAATCAAGTGAAGTGTCTATTCTTACAAGTTTACTTGAAACTAGGTTACTGTTAGGACAAAAGGATGAGTGTTAGCAGTGTTCTTACTAAACGCACAAAAAAAGGGGTGGGCAGTAGTTTGGTTTAAAAAAAAAAAGTGTCTGTCTTTGAAGGTTGTATCTAAACCCGCAAAAATGACTCTTCAGTATGGGCAGATCTGAATGCACCATGAGATGCTTCTGTTTGTGCCAGAGCGGAACCACAAGTGTTAGAGCAGTTTCACCATCCTGACTGTGTCCGAAGATATCTGTATCGTGACCTGTTGGGGGTGAAAGACTGGGTTTACGGCTATATATCTTGAATTTGAGGAATTTAGTTTCATATAGAAATATGACTCTTACTGTTTGGGGTTTTTTTCCTAATCTGCAGTAATTTTTTTCCTCTAGTCCTAAAGCCCTATGGAAACACTCAGGAGTACTGAATGGGGTTAGGGAGAGAACACGTAATGTTGAAGTACCATAGTGTAGCTACAGCAAAGATTTGATTTAATATGGATCATTTATTTGGCGTAAATGCATGTAATCAAATTATTACTTGCTAGAAAATGAGTTCAGTCTTCACGTAAACCAGACTTGCTTATTTTTGTCTCATGTAGGACACTGACTTTGTTTTCTTTTTTACACTGGGGCACTTTGAGTTTTAGGCTTACTAGTTGGAAAACTCCTGATATTGATACAAGAAAATCTTAAGGAATTGAAATTAAATGGTGGTGGTGTCTGCTCTCAGTTGTCAGTAGTATGACATCTTGCTTCTTCAAGAATGTCGTCACACAGTAGTTAAAAATTTTCTGCAGCTTATTTTATGCTGACTTTGTTTATTTCCTTCCAGTTGGTTAAGGAGTTTGACGTGATCCACACACCCAACCAGGTTGGTGATCTCTGGCACTTATGTTACCTGTGAACAAGGCCCTCCTGTTGCAGGGACCATGACTCCTCTCCTCTTTTGGCTCCTGTTCTGCTTTTGTAGCATGAGCAACTGGAGATGCTGAGGCTTCAGACCCTGCTGTTACTTGTTAACTCTAGTTTGTGAGCTGGATCCTTCTGCAGTGTCTTAGTCTTGCCTGTAGATGTTGATACAACTTTTACTTGGAATGGTTTAAGTAGATGTTTCTGTTGATAGATGAGTATGTTTACAGGAAATTCCACTATCCTGGCTCTTCCTACTCTTCTCTTCCACATCCATCATACACAAAGGGAAGAGTATTCTAAAATACTTAATTTCTGCATTTCATCACAGCACTGTTTTTTACATGTAGTACGGAGCCTTTTAAAAAGCCCTGTTAGGGAAGTACTGAGGAGGTTCTTGGTTAATGTGTATGAATTTCTAGGGCTAGATTTGCACAAAAAGCTTTTTATCACATCTAGTTTGTGACCGGGGAAAAATTAAACACATGAAACTTAATTTGTGTTACAAACAGGCCTTTTCTGTAACACTGCAGCGATGTCCTTTGGTAAGAATTGATGGTTATGTGCTCGTAGAATTGCTTAAGTCCACGTGTAAAATTAAGAATGGAGGAGAGATGTAACCTTGTGTGATAATCCTATGCAAACATGGTCTGTTTGCCTCTAATGTCTCTTCAGATCGCTTTGTTTCAAGGAGTAGTATAGGAGACTTCCCAGTTCTTGGAATAAAAAAAAGGGTGGCTTATCATATGGGGGGTGGGGGGGGAGTTGCTCTTGTACTAATTTGTCCAGCACTAGACTGCTTATTCCACAGTAGTATGTTCCTTTTTGAAACCCGGCATTTCCCTATGGAATAGGGCTCAGGCTAAAGTAGTTTTTAAAAATAAAGAATTCACCCCCATTTGGGGTGCGGGGAGCCCCCCTGCCGGCAGCTGCTCCATGTGAGCGCGGCTCAGCCTGTCTCTGCAGGGACAGAGGCTCAACCTTGTCCCTGTGCCACTGGCTACACCCCAGCGTGTGCCCGCAGTTGGGCGGCGTGCTGAGCCGTGTTTGCCTGGCAAATGAAAGGACTTTGGTAATGTGTGAATTAGAGAGACAGTAGGGCTCAATGCCGCTGAAGGTAATAACTTTCTGATGTTTCTTTTTCAGTCAAGTGCTTCTGCTCCTGATGTAGATGACCCAGAGGCTTTCCCAGCTCTGTCCTAAACTGGATGTCATAAGCCAACCCTGCCCTCGTCGGGCCTTCCTCTCCGAGGCTTGCATGCTTAAGGATCCTAAACAACTAAGAAATTTAAAAAAAAAAAAAAAAAAGAGACTGTCATTCATACCATTCACACCTAAAGACTGAATTTTATCTGTTTTGAAAATGAACTTCTCTCGCTACACAGAAGCAACAATATGGTAGTCAGTTTTGTATTTAGAAATGTAATGGTAGCAGGGATGTTTTCATAATTTTTTCAGAGATTATGCATTCTTCATGGATACTTTTTTGTATTGCTGCTTGAAAATATGCGTTTCCAAACTTGAAATATAGGTGTGAACAGTGTGTACCAGTTAAAAGCTTTCACTTCATTTGTGTTTTTTTTTTTTAATTCAGGATTTTAAACATTTTCCCTGAACTACAAACTGGGTTTTAATTATTGCACACTATTTCCGTTTCCTTAATTCCTGTTTAGCAGATTTTTATCAGCCCATGGTCTTTTGGAATATGTGAAATTTTAATTTGGCAGACTGTTAGTGCTGTATGGAATACTAACTCCCAGAGTACTTTAGTTTTAATGCTTAATTTCAGACTTGGAAAAACAGTCATTTTTCATCTATGTTTGGTAGTTTGTTTGCGCAAAATCTTATACAAAATTGATACCAGATACTTGAAGAAAGATTCAAAGCACATTGGTTTATAGTTAAAATACCTGTGTATTGATCCAGAAATGATGTGTGGATAATTGGTCTAAACAGTTTTTTAAAATTAATGTATTACACCTTTCACTCACCCTTTTTACCTTTATTTCCTCCTCCTCCCTTCAACAGAACAAGATGCTTTGTTGGCAAAAAAAAAAAACCAGTTTTTAAAAATTACCTATGTTTTTTCTTTGAGAGGCTACCCTGTAGATGGGAGTGACCTTTCCCGTTGTTGGAGCTGGGGGGAAGGTGGCAGCTCTTGCTCCGGTAGTCCGCCTGGACTCCGGCCGGGACGTGGAATTTAGCAGCATGGCCTGTTGACAAAGTACATCAGTACCTGATGTATTCACAGCACTGCTCTGACAGCCGCAGTTTCAGAAGAAACCGCGGACCCGGCTGGGTCTGGCAGGAGGGAGTTTTGGCTTGCCGTTTCAGAGGGGGACATTGCAATCTGTGCGCCATACAACAAAAAGATGCAAAGCCAAGCCCCAGCACTTAACCTCTCCATCAAAATTTTGTTCTGGATTTGTGCAGTGTTCAAGATCTGATTGCTAGCTGACAAATGAATGTTTTTCAGAGCGCGATTGTAAGAAACCCTTTCTACCCCCGTAGAAATTTGCTGTAGGTTTAATTTAATCTCTGTGAACAGGATTACCACTTCAGTACACAAAAGGAGTTGAGAGAACGACTAATAGAGGGTTTCTTAGGGTTTTTATCTGCAGCATTTGTTAGGAGACTAGAAACAGGTTTCTCATTTTATTTAACGTTTTACACTTTGGACAGCTTATATTTGTAGTTTCTTAACTAGGTAGATAGAAAACAAAAGGTAACGCCCTATTTTTTTAAAAGCTGTACAGGACAGGCAAAAAGTATTGGAGACCTTTGAATATGAGATATCAAACTCCTTAACTGTGGTGTTTAGCTGGCTTGCTTTATCTGAACTATTTTCTACAAAAGTTTTTGTTGTAAACCACTGTTAATATCATTGGATTAGACTTTTTAGTGCACTCACCTATAGTTTAAAGAACCAGGCTGTGAGAAGGAGGCAAGTTTTCAAACAGTGGATGGTAAAATCTCTCAGTTCATTTCTCCTGACTCTGAGCAGATCTTACGCAGGTGCTCAGGGGGGCTCTTGGACATCCAGCACCGAGTTGTTCCTCTTCCCTCCCCCGGTGTGGCTTGGTAGAATGTGTTGCAGTTCCAGTGTTAGGGGCACCTTGGATAATACAATTAAACAAATGCCTTGATGTGCAGAAACACTTGCGGAAAAGCTTTCTCTGTAACATAAACCTTCCTGCCCTTCTCCAAACTGTATATTTGCTGTTTCGGTTGCCACTCAGCTTTTTTTCCAGATTACTTCTGGGCCAGCCGGTTAGTTGTTTGGGGCCCTGCTAGCCCGACTTGGTCAGAAGCTTCCCCTTCTCCTGCTTTAGAGCGTAGAGCAGTTTCCCCATGCCATGTCGCGTACAATTTTCAAGACAGCTTGTACTTACAATTGGTCCGTCTGCTGTTCTGATAGATGTAAATTTGCCTCTTTCAGTCCATTTGTGTCAAGAACTAAAACTGTGAACATATATCTCTAATATTGGTGGGTGTTAACTGAAATAAAGGTTTATTTTCATGCTCTTTTAAAAATGTCATGAAAATACATGGAGATGAAATATTAGATTAATAGTCTCTCATCTAGGTTCTGCCCCGAGTGGTCCAGTGTGCCTGTGGCAATGGTGCCCAGGCATTTCCATTGCCAGAATGGACTTTGCCGTGGGAGAGTATCTCCTGAGTAGCTTACTTAAAATTGATGAGCTTACTATTTAATAACATGTTCTGTCCTCTTGCTTGCTACTTTTGCTGTCACGCCAGATCTGGAGGACTAGACCTTTTAAAATCTGAACTATTTGAAAAAGTTGGAGACAGAGAGAAGCACGTGGTGCAAATTGGCTTTTGAACGTAACGATGGCAAGGTTTGAGCATGAAAGTTCATCTTACAGATGGAATGCCGCTGATGCTGGGAGGAAATAAGACTGATTAATAAATGCAAGTGTTAGCTGTGCGGGAAAGGACGTAAATTCTTCTGAAACATCGGAAGTCAGTGTGAATATATGGTGTTTGCAGTTTGAGGAGTTGAGACCGCTCTTGCCTGTAATGACTCTCTGCCCATGGAGATTGGTTTGCATAGCCACGCCTCTTGTTTTAATAAACGCAGGACATATGCCTAAAGCTGACACTTCCAGCATTTGCTAACCTGCTTTTTTTTTTTTCTAAAAATCATCACAAGGGCCGTGTAACTTCATTTTGTACTCCTGGTCTGCCTTCGCTGGGCAACAGCCTCCTGGCCGGGCTTGGTGTGTCTGAGCGAGCGCCCCGACGCAGGTGGTGCTGCGCTAGCAAGGCCGAGCGTTAACAGTCGTGCTGGGAGTGTAACCTGACTGGGGAAAATGGTTCGTTTGCCCTTACTGGGAGGCTTTCAGGGAGGAGTTGTAAAAGTTTGGTCATTGTCCTACTGACGATGCTATTTGTCTGTTGGACTTTATGGGAAGCCCCACGTGGCAATTTACCTAGAGCCTGGAAGAACCAGGAGAAAATGCACTCGGGTGTTCTGTGTTCCGTATGTTGAAGATCAATCCATATGCAGAAGTAGATGGATGACGAAATAGTGCGCTTTTACCTTTTTTAAATACCTTTCTTGGGCAATAGGTATCTAATTAGGTTCTGTGCAGGTGACTTGAGGTACTGATTTGTCTCTGATGCCCAGCCAGAATCCTCTTGCCAGGGTGGTTGCCAGATTGGGTATGGAGAGCACAAAAATGGGGTTCTGTTGTCTTGGATGTCTGACCCAAGTCCGAGAGAAACGTTTGCCTTGGCCTGACACCGGACCAGCCTTAAAGGTGGGAGATGTCTGTGTGCCAGGCTGGAGACCAAGCCTTGGAACCAGCTGCTAGACGCAGAAAGCACAGTTGCAGAGCTGGTACTTTGCACAAAAAAACCCCAACCTCTTGCAGACTTTCTGCGTAGCTGGCAGTGCAAGTGGCCTGGTGCGGAGGTGGGGGCAGTGCTTTTGCTGCCTTCTCAGAGACCGATCTGGGTGTAGTTTATTTGCCTTGTGTTATTTTCATGGGTGAAATGCCTTGACAGCAGTGGAAAAAAGGCAGTGTGAGAAGAGGGCGTAGACTAACGAAGCTCTTCTCGCTTTCTGCTAAGCTCTGGCTAGGAAAGTGGCCTTGGGTTTGCTCCAGCAGTGGTCGCTGTCCCCGCTGGGCTGCGGCCTGGACTTCAGAATCGAAAACAAATGCGAGGACTGGAGTTGGGCTGCGCGGCTGTCCCCTCTGCGCAGCGTCTCGGCTCTGGGTAGTCGTGCGGCTGTTGACGTGTCTTTGATGTTGGCAGGGAGCTGTGAACCTCTCGGCTTGCTGGGTGCGCTGCAGGAGAGGAGGTGAGCTGGGCTGGTGCTGGTGCTCCTTTGTGGACAGTTCAGCGTGGGCCGAGGCTGCTTTGGTTTGTTGGCTCACTGCTTGAGGGTGTGAGCTTGCCCGTAGCTGCAGAGAAGCGTGCTTGAGCTGTTTGATCTTCACCCGTGAGATGTTGCTACAAAGGTCATCGTAACACTGAGAGGTGAGGGAGCTTTGTTGTACTTCTGTGTTCTTTGCTGGGCGGATGGAGGGTAAATCAGATATGGGATGGGTTTTACTGCGGTCTTCCAGCTCAGCAGTGTGAATTAGTGCATGCCCGGTTGGTGTTTGGGATTTGTACTTGACACCCTGCAGGTTTTCTGTTGTCTTGTATGGAGGACAAGGAAAAGACTTCCTTGTGTCCTTTCTCCTAAGAAAGCACCTGGAGATCTGTCTGGCTCGGTGAGATTGCGTGGCACTTGCAGGGCAGGAGGGAAGTATGTTGGGTGGGTTAGATGAGATGTGAGGCAGAAATCCTTCCCTGTGAGGGTGCTGAGGCCCTGGCACAGGGTGCCCAGAGAAGCTGTGGCTGCCCCTGGCTCCCTGGCAGTGTTCAAGGCCAGGTTGGATGGGGCTTTGGGCAACCTGGGCTAGTGGAGGGTGTCCCTGCCCATGGCAGGGGTGGCACTGGGTGGGCTGGGAGGTCCCTTCCCACCCAAACCAGTCTGGGGTTCTGTGATTCCATGACAAGACGGCCTTTGCTACTTAGGTGTTTTTTCGCGCAGCAGTCCCTTTTCTGTTTGCCTTTGTGTCAGACTTGAAGATGCAAAAAGGGGCAGCTGCTCTGCAGCTCGCTAACGGACCGCTGGTAAAAGCTGTTTGATGTGGAAGCGCGTCCTCCCCTGCCGTGCTGTCTGACCACGGCGTGTCTGAGCTGTGACCTTGAGCATGGAGGTCCTGGGTCAGTTTGGAGGTGGCAGTGAGGATGCAAACAAGTCCCTGGGTTGAAATACTAACCCAAAATACAACTCAAAACTAAACTTCGGGTAACTATGTGAGTAAGGCTGCATTGCAGAGCTGCTGCAAAGCCGCCTTCCACGTGGAGCCTGCAGATCAAAAAATCCTGCCAGCTTTGACGCCCCTAGTGAAAGTGTGGGTGTAAGGGGGGAGCACACATCACTTGCACTGGTTCCGTGGCGAGGCAGACTGCAATCTGTGTCTTAACGAGTCCATGCACACGAGCGGGAGGCTGTCGTGCGTTTGCTGGTGCGTCTG